ATTGACATCGTTTTGCCTGCTAAACTGTAAAACGATGTCGTTTTATTTGTAGAGAAATTCACGTCCTAATAAAAACTCAGTCTCTTTGCTTGTTCTCTCTCTCTAACATCGTCTAAAACTCGCCTTGCGTTGTCTAAAGTTAAAGGTTATGGCTAACGCTTTCGCATCATCAGTTGATTTTTGTTCTCAATTCTTTCATGGGTAGTTTATTAGGTTCTAATTTTTTATTTTAAAATGTTGGCTTGTATATTTTCTCCTAATCAATTTTCTTATTTGTTCTTTTTTCATTCTTATTTCTAACCTAATCTTTACTGGGTGTCATTATTGTGGTGCTTCAATGGCCATGATTTTTTAATAAATTTTTTTAGACGCAACAAAAGATGAAAATGAAATAATAGGCTAGCGTCTTTTCATTTAGACGACGTGATTATGTCAATTGATTATTTTTAGAATGTAATAATGTTTAATATTCAATATTTTGTCTATTTTACATATATAGTATTATTTTTTATTTTTGTTCAAATTTTTTGTCGAATCTTACTATTCACAATTTAATACGATTCATGATTCTTAAATTTAGGATTCTGATTCACGATGCTAATCGCGATTTGACAATTATGCTCATAATAACATTGTATTTTATTAATATTCTACCAACTATTCAAGTTCTCAATATAGTTCACTAATTTCAAAATGCAAAGACTAAGGAAGAAACAGACTTTGTTTGGGTCAACAATTATAGTCGAACTCTTCACTAGGGATAAACTAGAGGAAGAAGAAGAAGAAAAAAAGCCTAGGGTTTCGGCTAGGGAAAATGCCTAAACATTCAATTAAACTCTTCTCAAATCCAGAGGATCAAGAAGAAGACTAAAGACTTTTTTGCGATGAAGGACAATAAACTAGAAAGGAAGATTTCTTTGCGAGGAAAAAGACTGAGGTTGTTCTTCTTTGCTATCTTTGACTCTTCGGTGGACAACTTCTGGTCCTCGTTGACTAGAGAAAAATGGTACTTTTATTTTTTTTAAAAATCCTATCCATCGAAACGACGTTGTTTCACTAATTAGGGGTTAAAAAATTAAAAAAAAACCAAAGAAAAATTATTTTCGCGTAACGTATGTTTTAGACGATATGTATCGTATACTAAAACAATACAGAGACACGATTCGTATCATTTTTTTTTGTTTGATACTAATAACTATGAGTTTGGGTGTCTTTAATAAAAAAATAATTGAGTAGGCACAGAGAATCAACTTCTGAAGTCACTTTTGAAAGCTCATTTGGCATATCGGATGTAGCCATTGCAGGCCAAATGGCCACAGTCGAAATACTGGATAGCCATCTGGTCAACCGGATGTCCCTTATCTTCCTTCTTGCCCTTTGTCCCATCACACCTCTTCAAATTTCAGAAAGTTTTGTAAGATTTGCTGTTTCCTCATCCGGTAGGCTGGTTCACATTGTTCGTGTAGACCAGATATGTCCAAGCAGTCTACCTATATGCCTATCCTTTTGACCTTGCATGCCCTTGATTTTGACATACCGGATAGGCGTTCCAGCATACTGGTACAGTTTTTCGGATGCTTTAATCGACATACTGTTAGCCTTCTAGATGTATTTCCCCTTTGCTTGATTTCTTCTGTATTTGGTTTGTGGATATGGCTTTCGGATGCATTGTCCGGTATGTCGGATGCATTGTCCGGTATGGGGGATACTTGTCTGAATTTCCCATTTTTTTCTCTGTTTTTCCTTTTTCTTCTTTGGGTGAACACCTACACTTCATCCACACACTCATGCCCACGTTAGTCCATATTAGGATGTTTGTTATCATCAAAATCATGCTTAATGAAGCATTGGGTCAACAAGATCTTATTCGAATTGTGATATGTCAAGACTTTCATGAGGTTTATGCAGATTGAAATCGATAAAATAAAACAAGACCTATTTCGTCACTAAAATTTTTCTCCCCCAAACTTTAAAGTCCCACGCTTCACATAACTTTTGATGCTAATCAAGGCTAAATTCCCCCCAATCTATATAATAAGGGAGTTAAGAGTTTGAATCTTATCCTTGTATATTTTTTAGCTCATTTCTATCACATCACTCATTCCTATAACAAGTTAAATCATTTAATTTTTTGATTCAATATAATTTTTATTTCAGACGTGTTGATATATTGATGAGGTCATGTATGGATAGTAGGAAAGAAACATTATTATTTCATATAGTGAGATCGATTTTTTGGGTGCTCGAATTTTATACTGTATCGTGCCTTATGGCTAGTTACTTTATATTTCCCTTGTGTTTGATATAACTGAAACTATATGTCTAATGTTAGAAATCATGCTTAGATATGCCATTGATATTTCAATCTATCTCGCTTACTTTGGTGTAGTGCTTTTGTTTTAAATGCTTCTACTCTCCCCTTAATACTCATTTTTCTATTTTTAGCTGGTCTGCAACATAATTTTCTCTGGGCATTCATTGAATCAAGAACATAGACTGTGTCCCTTTATAATAGGCTGAAAAGAGAATGCTATTTTCTTCGTCTTTTGTTCTTGTCTTCTAATTTATTAAAGAAAAAGCTTCTTACAAATTATCGAAAGATCCAACTGGGATTTCTAGTCAAAATGGGATTCTCGGGACTTCAACGAATCTGGCTATTTGGAGTTACGAGGGTGTGGTAGGGGCACAAATTGTGTTTCTGGCTTGCGCTTCTTGGCAACTATCTGACATTGGGTAAACTAGGATCTTGAAATATTTTTTGGAGCTCCTACGATGGTTCTCAACCAAGCATCTTCTACTCCCATTTGTTGTCCGCTGTTCAACTTCTTCTATTTGGACCTTTGTATTGACCATATGGCAAAAATATACTACTCCTTTATAATGCTGCATAAATATAGAGGTTGGGTACACACTATAATGACCCAATTACCCATTTATTTGTATTAGTAGTACTCATTAACAATCCTCCCTCAAGCTAGGCTAAATATATCAAATCCGAGCTTGGAATGGATAGTATGAATTTCGTCTCTAGGAAGAGAGTTGGTGTAGAAATCAATGAGTTGATTTTTTTTCCTTCAGTTAATCTTCGGAAAAAAACTGACAATCAACTTAAATGTGTATCATTTGCTCATGGAAAACTGAATTTGAAGCAAAGTGAAGAGCAAAATCATTATCAGGAAACAACTGCATAAGGAAGGTCACTGGAAATCCATTCTCATTTAACAAGTTTTTTTGCCATATCAAATTCACGTATATTCTGCACCATGGCTCTAAACTCTACTCCAGCACTGTTTTGAGCAACTGAATTTTGTTTCCTATTTTTCAAGTCATCAAAGTCCTTCCAAGAAAAGTGAAATACCTTTAGGTAAATATTCTATCAGACTGAGAAAATGTCTCTTTTGTAATGGACGATTATACAACATACACACGCAAATCTAATCTGTATCTGGCCTGGTGATAGTTAAGGAATTCGACTTAAGTACAACTATCTATGCTTCCTGGGTCATAAAGATGTTTCTTTGTAATGTACGATTGTACAACACATACACACACACTCAAACCGAACTCAGTTTTAATTTCAATTGCAAAGATTTGAAAAACTTTGGGCATAAAAGAACTGCGAATATGTTTTCTTAATTGACAAGACTCAGAGTCTATGGATTTCGACTGACTCAATTTATGAACTAATAAAGACCATTGTCTTCATACCCTCCACAATCTTCTTCTTCTTCATCCTGAGGTCCTCAAAAGCACAGAAATACTGATACGATATTTCTGAACTATGTAATGATTTAGGAAGTTTGCTCACAGACAGAAAATTAAATGAAAATTTAGGAACATGAAAATATAAGACGACGAGATGAACTTGGTTCACAGTGCAAACACCAGAAACTACAGGCGAGCATCTCATCAACTAAAGTGACATAATAATTACTAGAGATACGTTGAAAGTTTGAAAAATCTTCCATTTTACTTCCTGCAAACTTTCTCTAATTGGGTTTTTGTAGCAGTAGAAATAGAGGTCAAAGGATTCGCGCCAGCTTATAACCGGTTTTACTCTTCTTTGGAAATAGATACAAGTTCTAGTTTAGATGTAAACTCAGTCACACTTTTTTACTGTACTAAACATATATCATCCGATGAAAAGACATTACGAGCATATGAGGGAGGCTTGCCATAAGTTTCCAACAATGGTCTACGGTATATTCATAAGTCCCCAGTGGGTACTGTTCGCAGATCCACATCCTTTGCCACCTTGACTTTCCACTAGCTTTCAACCACCTCCTCGCCAACCACCTTGGCCTCTGCGTCCACCACTGGAAAAGTTATCACCAGAAGCACTATCGCGGGAAAATGTTTACCTCCATGTTTGGGAATTACTTCTAAGGCAGAGCTGTCAGGTACTCTACTCCCATTACCTTTTGAAAAAGCCTGTTAGAGACATGAGAAAATTTCAGGAAATGATGGAATTTCCTTATTTTTGTCAATGTCTCAGCACAAATATGTTTGTTGTTCTAATTTTAAACAGCAGAAAAATCGAGAAATCATTAACTCATTTGTTTTTGCTGGGTCTTCTCGGTTAGAAGGGCTAATTGGCATTAAGAGTATTCATGATATTTTGTAGAACAAAGTAGTATTCTTTGATGCTCTTGTCTCCCTGCTCCACTTCTACGCCTGCAAATAATAGATCAACTGCAAGCCATATCTATTCGACAGTTTCTGCAGACATAGATTATTCCGAGTTCCCGTAAGATTAATATTAATCTGTCAAATATTCAAGGTCATGTTTTACTATGAGAAAGACTTTGACAGATCGAGACCATGACATGTAGTTGCTGTCATTAAGCTTGACGGATGTTGCGGGGAGCCTAGTAAAATCCTTACCAACCAATGGACTAACTTAACATCTACCATGAAGCTAGAGAAACAATTTACCAAGAGAAAATAAACAGAACCAAACTGAAACTGCATTGAAACAGGTACAGTAGACAAGAAAACCCATGGACTGGGCACGAGGAGAAGGAAAGCTTGACAAAACCAAATTGAAACTGAAACTGAAGCTGATCCAAAACACTGGAAAACCCACTGTACCCGGTAGAGTTACCATTTAACAAACCTCAAATCTAATAATTCTCAAGCAAAATCAGCTGACAAAATCATCTCCACTGGCGCCATCGAAAGGCCCACGATTAATAAGATTTTGATCAATTGAGTAGGCATGGAAGGATATCAGTTGCTTATCATTTATTGTCATCAAAATGTTAAACAGAAGAAAATATGAAACACAAAAAAGTTTTGATTGGATGGGTGACAGTGCATTCAATTGAAATTATGGAAGCAATGGAAACTTTGGATTAACCTTTGAACTGCATATTGAATTATGTTTCCCTTTTTTCCTACGAAGAAGGATAGTACCCCATTGATATTTAGAATATTACCACTAGAAACTGTGACTAACTCATCCTGGAAATTTTATGCCAAATGGTTGATAGCATTATTTATGTATATCATCATTTATGTTGGATAACTAGCCTTTAACTTCTATATAAATTAAGGAATGAGGAATTACATAAAATTGGATCATGTTCCGGTGTAAGGAATAGACATTAATGCATTGGAGAATTGATTGTTTATCTGTTTGAGAGTTTGGAAAATGATACTCAGGTGAGTTATCTGTGCTTACATTTGTCTTTTATTTGTATTTGAAATGTAGGGTATTGTTTCCATTGGAAATAAACTTTTGCGGGTTGACTTATGAACTTCTTTCATGAACAAAATTCCACATATGGCCTTGTACATTTCATTACTTTCTTAAATGTACTGGTTCTGCACTAGGAGTATTTTTTTTGTCCCTTATTTGAATTTTCATTGATTTTGTGCAACAGAGAGCAGGCGTGCTTCCATTGATATTTTCTTGAAGGCAGCCGGATACCTTGATTGTGCGGTGCGACATGTTCTTCCACATTTGCCCCCTGCACTCAGGTTTATATATAGTTGAATTTCGCTGAAGTCTGACTTGTTTATGATTCAAAGTATTCTCATGCTTTGCAAGTTTCTTTCTTTTGATCGTTGCACTGATATCAGGGGAGATTTACCAGTAGACCTTGCTGAAGGAGTTTTAAGAGCACTCTGCCTTCAAGCACTAGGGCAGGTACTAGCTCATTCCCTGACTGGTTGTAGAGTTTACCTCTAGTTTGTTCAGATTTTGTACCAACAGATGTCTACTTGATCCAGTTGTCAGAAAAATACTCTTCCATAATTTATTTTCACAGTATGCTCAAGATTTGACTATCCTTTGCTTTAAAGTGGGGTGATAGACTGAACTGTTGTCAAGTTTGTACCAGAAAACATGAATCAAATTAAGCTTGATTGGATCACGAGGTTGCTTGAGCCAGATAATTAAACTTCTGGTTGAAGAAAGAAGTGATATACAACGATTGCCATGCTGAGAATGTTTAAGACAGTAGATGTCTTTCAGTGTTAGTGATTTGCTTGTCCTAGACAACATGAAACCTGCCCTGGTTAATTGATGTGAATGGGGTATGCAAGTCTAGATTGCTGGATATTCTGGTTGTGTGTCACTCTCCTATCTCTAAATCTATTTTATGGTTCATTCTGAGGCGCATCTCAGGTCGGGGGAGGAAGGGTTTTATTTGGCACACATCTCAGTGACCAAGCTATACTCTTAGGCCTTCAGGTGGTGCATGTTTCATTTGTCTTGATTTTGATTATTTTATCGAGTTCTTTAGAGGACAACCATACACTTGGGTTATATTTCTATGCTGCTTGTACATAGTTAGTACCAATATAAAGGACAGCATATCAATTTTGTTTCTGAAGAATACTATCTAATCCAATAGGTTAATCACCCAACTCAAGTAATATTACTAGAAAAAAATTGCCCAACATGGCTAGGAATACAAAAGCTAGAGAAGAGGCTTGTCTAAAATGCACATAGATACCTGATAGAGCAGAATGTGCATTTATTAATGTAGTGGAATCATGCAAAAATGTACTTTTGACTTATCCACAGTAAACTACTTTTTTCCTTTAATATTTGATGTATTTCAGCATGAGTCGCATGACTATGTGTGCCAAAAACTGGAGTCTGGAAACTTGGATGTATGGTTCTTGTAGTGTCCCATTGGTCAACTAACCTGCCATGTGTGTTGGAAGGGCAAAGATGTCATTTTCCTTTTGCAAAAAAATTGGTGAAGAACAGCATGGAAGCCGAAATCTTGGCCATTTCACTCTGTATTAGAAACCAATTTTTGCAAGATCTTATGTACAAACAAGCCCTTGTGGAATTTGATTCCAATTAAAACTTTTTTGTGTCAAGCATTTAGGCCTGGTCTCAGAAAATGTGCTGTAAATGTAATCTTACTGATCACGCCAGGCCAGCCATGCAAAGTTTGTTCTTGTTCCTATTTTCAGCTCTCATGATTTGGTTAAGTCATCGAGTCTTTGTCTGGTTGTTTTTCATTTAGTCATTTATTTATGATCTACTTAGGCTAATTTTTTAACTTTTATATTTTTTCAACATCCCATCTTAGTGTTTAAATAGTAGGATCAGGTTGGGTAGCACATACATCCATAATTCCTACAAGAGGACAATTGTTGGGCTCTATGTTAGAGCATATAGTGGAAGTGCATTTTCTAGTCTTCTTTAATGTACTTTCCAATGTCTGACCAGGGTGTTGAGATCCAACTTGGACTTGCAATTGATAGTACCAAGGCCACACTTGCAGTAAAACGTAGGCTTGCATGTGAGATGGTAAAGTGCTGGCAGCAGGTATGGATGCATTACCTTTTCTTCATCTTTTTATGGGGTTGACTAGGCAAAGATGTACTTTGAAGGTTTTACTATCATTTTTATGCCTCCATTGTACCACAAAACTTTTATTATTTTTATTTTGTGTCCTTTGTGAGTAACATTGCAATTCAAAGTTAAGTGACGAGAGTTGGGGTGAACACATGAAAGAACTCAAATATCAAAATAAACTGTTGTTCAAATAGGTTCCTCTATTACACTTTGTGTACTTTTGCACTCAAGCTCCATTCGGAAGTTGAATTCTGCACGCTGTTGGGAGTGCTAATGTTAGAGCATCTAACTCAAAACCAATTGGAAAGAGGTGGAGTGGTCCTTCAAGTATATAAACCAACCTTAGTGGCCCTAGTTAGTTATTCGATAGGGGATATAAACTCTATTAATACCCTCCCTTACGTGAGACCCTGGCATGAACGCGGGGTCAATAAACAAACAAATAACTATACATGCCAGAAAATTCAAATGGGTAAGAGACATGGCCCACTAACTACTGAGGGTCCAGTTTTGATACTCTGTTAGAGCATCTAACCCGAAATCAATTGAAAATGGGTGGAGTGGCCGCTTAAGTATATAAACCAACCTTGGTGGTCCTAATTATTAGACATGAGATTCAAGCTCTCTTAACAGCCAGGACATACAACTCATTCTGGCGGCCAGTTTACTCTTCTTATTGATCATATTGATAATTATGCATTACATCTCTACCTGTCGGACTTTTGTTACTTTGAACTCTTATTCATATTAGATATCCAAGTATCGATCATCATTCAGGTCCAACCTGTTACAAAATTCATAAAACTACTTCTTTCCTTAAAATACAAATGCCATATCATCTTGTCATACCTGCTGTAATATATCTACCCATATCTGGTATCCTTAGTACTACCTCTGTGCTCGTTTACTACTCATAACACTATAACAGAAGTAATATATCTGGTTGGGACAGATGTCACAGTGGGCCTATAAGTTGGAAACCCCATAGGCTGTATAAACAGAGAATCCTGATAATCCAACCAGCAGGGTTTCCATGACTTTTTATTTAACTTCCACTAGTGATTTACCCACAAGTTCTGCTTCTTGCTTTTACATGTCACTGTATTTCCCTACAGAGGTGAAGCGATCAGAGTTGAATTGCCTCTGATATCTATCTGCATCAAAAACCTGGTTGCGTGAATGGAGCTAGATGGTCTAAACACCATCTGCATTGTCACAAATTTACATGAGACACCTCCAATTGCAACGGATTGCCTGTCGATGGTCTTCTTTTTCCATTATTATCGGGCACTCCCAATGCTTTTTTCCTAGTTCTGCGAAAACTATCGAAATCAAAGTGATGGAAATTGAAAAAGGAATCAGATGAAGTTTTGACTTGAAGAATATTGTATTAAATAATTTGGTGAATAAAAAAGGCAATAAGGAATCCCCTTCCTCAGCCCCATGGATGCTAACTTACCCCTAGGTTTATCATTTAAAATAATAGAAATTCATTGACCTTATGCATTCTCTGGGAAGTCCCAATCCACATGGTCATATGCTTTTTTCAAAATCAATTTTCAGCACAATACTCTCCTACACTCTAGATCTATAATCTTCAACTATCTTATTAGCTACTGGAGTTATATTCATAATCTGTCTCCCTTTCATAAAGGCCCCTTGAAACATTCAAAATAGTATCACTTCATCACTCATTCCCTAAGCCATATTGATAGAACTTCGGCAATGATCTTATACAGACTTTTTACTAAACTAACAAGCCAAGTCTTTCAATTTCAAAGAATTTGCTTTTATCAAGATAAAACAAAATAAATTTAGCATTTGTAATTTTATTAACACACAATTGTGAAAAAAATCCTGAAATGCTAGTAATGAAATCATTTTTCACATCTCCCAAATGTTTTGAATATAAGCATAGTGAAACCATCTGTATTTGAAGTTTTTTTTTCTTTACTGCTTGCAAAAACAACCCTCTTGACTTACTTGACCAGAAGAGCCTCTCCTTGTGCTCACCATCCTTCCATCAATGGGAAAACAATCAAGACTAATTGATCTAGGCATTAAACAATCCTGGGGTGAATAAAAACTAACAATGTTCCTCTCAATATGAACCTCGTTATCAACTACCAATTCATTGATAAGTTCCAACTAATCACAACAATTTTATTCTGCCCAGTTAATTGGCCATTTTGTAAAAAAACTTTGAATTGTTGTCACATTTATTTCACTTATTGGCTTTTGATATTTGCCTCAAACTTACTTTTTTCCATACCTTTAGTTTGTGTTTGACAAACTCATTTTTTACAAACTTAAAACGTTTCCACCCTCAAAAGCTTTCGTATAACCACCATGCCCTAATTTTTCCCTTAAACGTGTTACACACAAGGATCAAAAAATTGTTTCGAGCACATTGTTTTAATCACTTATGAAATAGAAATGTGTCAAAATATTTCGGAAACATAATGGAAAACTGATAAAAAGTTTAGGAATTTATTTTCAAAATATGTTAAAGGATTGGTATAAATATATCTAAGCATCTTGAAACAATTCGAAACATTCTGTAATATTGGTGGAAACATGCTGAAACATTTCGGAATAACTCAGAACATTCCGAACTACCTCAAAACACCTCTAGTTATTAAAATTTTGATTCAATCACTATTTTGTTTTGGTCTTCTTGAAAACAAAAACGCTTCAGTTGTTTTGAACGATATTTTGATCCTAGGTTATACTTTTTTGTCATGTTCTCAAATCTAATGTACATGGACCCACTTGACACTAGATTTCTCAAGAGCCATAGGATAGTAGCCTGATACTAGTTCTGGCAAAGCTATAAAGAGGGCTATCATGTGTCAAAAAATTAAAGTGATTTATATAGTTGAGGGGTCACTGTATTCATTGACAATTGGTTTTGATTTGAATGTTCGTATATGGTACCAGAGCCGGCCTTAGGTGATCAGTGGGTCTGATCGCTCACCTATTTGAAATTTTCAATATACATGTTTTGAGTCTAGCTCCCACATGATAAAGGGTGTAAAGTGAGCTTGTATCCCACGTCGAATGATTAGGGCCCCCTCAAGGTTGGTTTTTATACTTAAAAGACCTCTTTACTCATTGCTAATTGATTTTTAGTTGGATGCACTAACATGTCTTAGAGGTGGATTTTGAGTAATTGGTGGGCCGAGTCTCATTTCCAGTTGAATTTCTCGGTCAGTTTATCTGTTTGTTTCTTCAACTCTAGTTCGTTTTGTTATCTATTTCAATTTAGTTTATAACCTTCAAGGATTAAAATTTCGTTTTGAAATGTCCGAAACGAATTAGTGATGAACTCGAAATTCTGATATTTCGAGGTGTGTAATAATGTTGAGGTATTTTGTAATGTTTTAATGCATTTACACAATTGTTTCAAAATATTTCAAAATATTTTGCCAATGTTTTGGAAAAATAATTCTTAAATTTTTTATTTTTATCATTTTGTTTCCTAAACTGGTCGAAATGTTTCCAAAATACGTCGAAACGGTTTTGTTTCTTAGGTAACCGAAACAATGGACCGAAACAAAATTTTGATCCTTAATAACTTTTATGTGAGTTTTGGTAGTACATGAGGGAGGGTCTGAAAAAAGCTATCCCACTTTGAAAAATTTAGTAGACCTAGTGTTGGTTTTTATATTCGAGGGACTACTCCACCCGGTCCCAATTAGTTTTGAGTTGGATAATCTAGCGGAAACCACCTTTCTAACTACCGGAAAATAATCTCCCATCCTACTGAAATAAAAAATATATCCAATTTTTGACATACCAACTCACTTTTAAAATTAGTCCTAGAAAAAGCATCCTTAGACAAGGAGGGTCCTTAAGCTATGTTTCCCTAATTTAAGTGTCAAAATCCCCCATACTTTTTGCTATTGTTTCCGCATCAAATTTTTTGACGGGTAGTTAATGACAAAGAGCCAGAAAATGATCTTTCTTGTATAATTTTGCATATTCTTGAATTTTATCGAATTTGGTATAAAGTCCCCTCTTCCCTTCTTATAAACCATTTTGGACAAGACACCTTAAATAGTCCCCCTAACTCTTCCCTCACAACGCCTGACCTCCTCATAGAAGATAGGAAAAGTCAGTTCCTAAATCTAGTCCCTCACATACTTTATAACTCTTCTTTTAACAACCACTAACTTAGATTCCTACAACGATACAAATCTAACCCATTTCTCCCCAAAACTTCTTTAATTGAGCATCTCTTTCTCCTAGATCCTAACTCCTAACATTATAACTAACAATCTTCATAACAAACCCAGCTCCCTCCCAATCTTTCTAGAACACCCTTCAAAAAAATGTGTCGGCAGTAGGCCCTTGAGGGAGGCATATGTAGTTGGTTGGTAGATTGGAAAACATTGCTGGTTGATGCCTAGATTATTGTGAGGGAGTGGGGATGTCCAGAGTCCAAGCTAATATTGGGGATGGGGTATCAAGAGTTCAAGTTTGTTGTAAGTGGTTCCAAGTGTTGAAGGTTAATTGGAGAAAACTTTTGTTTCCTAGCTTAATTTTTTGGAAACCTAGTAAATTAGTTCTCGGGAAAGTTGGTGTTCCCAATCACTCTCCAAGATAAATTGATTATTATATATATGGGAAAATTTCACCCACACCCCTCGTAAATTGTCCAGCACCCCTTGCATTGTCTCGACCTTCACTGCACTCCCTACATGTATTAGCCTTAGCATGTTCCTATGATTTAGGTTGTGTAGAACTCCTATGATAGGGTGAATTGTCTTTGGCTTTATATTGATAGTGTTTTCATCACTTCTCTAATTGACTTGGTTATTCATTTTGGTCATCATGAATTAAGCACCGACATTGTTACATAGTCTTTTTTGGTAAGTGGAGGGGCGCCTGACAGATGTATTGCTTTTCCTTTGCCGTTCACTTGACAGGCTCAAGATAACATCACGAACCTTCCATTAGCAAATTGTTGGGGGGAAAAACATCAGCTCTTCGTGAAGTGGAAATATATTGAAGCAAAGGTATGTTTGCATTCATAGAGTCAATAGTCATTGGATTTGCTGTCGGCACATACCATGGGCAGTTTACTGAGATTCCTTGGCAGTGCCATTTGCAGAATTGCATTGTTGAACTTGAAACTGTTGACGACAACATTAGGCCAATTGAATTACGGTCATCACCTTGGTGTGACCACATTAAAAATATGAAAATTGCTTATGCATACATTATGCTTTTTTGTAAGCATATATTTCCATGTGCATGGCTACACCTCGTATTACGTGAGACCAGGGATACTCACCTGAGTACATAGCTGGAATTTTTGGCAAAATGATTAGACAGGTTGATGAGGCCATAGAAATTGGTCGAGGTTGTAATTTGAGCTGGTACTAACTTCTTAATGTGCATATTTGTTTGCATTGGAATTTGTTAAAGTTATTATTTCTCAATTAGACATAAGTTAATTAGTGTGGGTAATAGTGTAATTACCTAAGTATTACTCAATTGTAAATAATAGAGTGTAGGCCAACCTAGCATATATACAACTGATTATTTTCCAGTCTATTTCTCTTCTTGCTTCTCTCTTTTCTCCTAACCCAAATATCACTTTAATATCTCAATTTAGTATCGGAGTAACTTTGACTTTTTCTTTTGTTGATATCTGTTAAGCTAAGAGAATTAACATAACACAATATTAGAGAGAAAGAGAGAGGTTAAAAACTTAAACTAACTCTCATATTTCACTTATATTTATAGTTAATTCACAATAATAAGAATTACACATACACTCTCTTACTATTTATAATTTACACATACTACCCTAATATTCTTAAAACTCTCCCTCTAGCTGGACTATATATATCATATAATCCAAGTTTTGAACAAAATCGCTGTAAGACATGTACGACTCAATGCTTTGGTAAACATATCTGTAAGCTGATTTTCAGATTTCACAAATAGAGTTGTAATCTCCCCAAGTACTATTTTGTCCCGAATAAAGTGCCAATTAACCTCAATATGTTTGGTTCTCTCGTGAAACACCGAATTGATAGCAATACGGATAGTTGTTTGGTTGTCACAGAACAACTGTAAAGGAAGTTAAATTAGAAACCCAATTTTCTGGAGGAAGTGTAGTAGCCAAGTCAACTCACTCGTCGTATGCGCCATGATCCTATACTCAGCCTCAGCACTGAATCTTGCTACCACAGATTATTTTTTACTTTTCTATGAGACAACATTGCCTACTAAGAAAGTACAATAACCAGTGGTTGATCTCCGATCAGAAGGAGAGGCAGCCCAATCAGCATCTGAGAAACCTTTCACTCTAAGATGTCCATTAGTTCGATATAATAGTTTAAGTCCAGGAGCTCGTTTGAGATATCGCAGAATACGAGTAACTGTCTCCCAATGTGGTACTCTAGGACACTCCATGAACTGACTGCATAAGAAATATCTGGTCAAGTAATAGTGAGATAATTAAGCTTCCCACCTAATTTGCGATACCAACCCGAATTCTCAAACAGTGTACCATCATCCATCAATAGTTTTTTGATTCGGATCCATAGGAACATCAATCGGTCTACCACCCAATAAACTGCTTCCTCTAGCATGTCAAGCACATATTTTCTCTGTGATGAACAAATACCTTGTTTAGATCGAGCCACTTCAATTTCCAAGAAATACCTGAATTTTTTCAAATCTTTAGTATGAAATCGATCTTGCAAGAAGATTTTTAACTTGGCAATCCTCTCAGAATTATTTTCAGTGATCGCAATATCATCTACATAGACTACCAATAGAACATATCTAGCACCCGTCTATCTATGAAATATAGAATGGTCTGTCTGACATCGAAGAAGAATAAACTCTAAAATTACATCTGAAAACTTACCACACCATGCCCTCGGTGACTGTTTCAAACCATACAAAATTTTTTTTAAGCGACATACATTTTTACCGTACTCCCCTGATCAGTAAACCCAGGTGGCTGCGCTATGTACACCTCTTCAACCAAGTTACTATGTAGGAAGGCATTTTTGACGTCTAACTGAAACAAAGGCCATAGGTTTGAGTAATGTTAGCAGTCAAGGAAATTTGGCAATCAAGATACGAATAGAAGAAAATTTGGTAACATGAGAGAAAGTCTCCTTATAATCAACACCATAGGTTTGAGTAATGTCCTTTGCAACAAGTCGGGCTTTGAGATGCTCCACAGAACTATCCAGATAAAATTTAACAGCATATACCCAACGACAACTAACAGTTTGTTTACCAGGAGGCAAAGAAACGAGATTCCAAGTTCCATTATGATGTAAGACATCCATCTCATCCTCCATACCTTTCCTCCAACCCGGATTAGATAATGTATCTTGTAAATGTTTAGGAATAGATATAATAGATAATTGAGAGGTAAAACAAGAGAAGATAGGAGACAAAGCATCATATGAAACAAAATGAGTAATGGGATGATTAGTAACACACGAATGAGAACCTTTTTGAAGAGCAATAGGTAAAGAGTCTAAATTACCTGATGGACCAGGATTAGAAGGTGACAAGGAAGACAATACGGGCACCTCAGGCGATGGTCGAGGACGACGAGAGTATACACGTAGAGGTAAAGTAGACGGTAACATAGTGGACAGCGGAATATCTGAAGATGAGGGAAGAGATGGTGGTACAAGAGATGACCCAAAGTTTAGATCCAAAGGCTAATACCCCTTCTGTGTGCGAAAATAACCAAAAAATACACATTTGGTAGCTCGATGGTCAAGTTTATCAAATCCAGGACCCAAATTGTGAACATAACAAACACATCCAAAAACCTTAGGAGTTTTGAAAAATAAGGACTTATTTGGCAAAAGGACAGAATATGGACTTTGCCCATTTAACACAAAGGATGACATAAAATTAATAAGATGACAAGCAGTAAGAACAATATCACTCCAAAAATATCGGAGAATATTCATCTGGAATAACAAGGCACGAGTGACTTTCAACAAATGATGGTTCTTGCGTTCAGCAATACTGTTCTGTGGAGATATGTAAGCACAGGAAGTCTAATGAATAATGTCAGTTTTATTAAGATAAGCTAAAAAATGATCAGATTCATATTCTCGAGCATTATCAGAACGTAAAATACGTATATGACAACTATATTGAGTTTTTATTTCCTTACAAAAGGTCCAATATGGAGAATAATTCAGATCGAGCTTTCATCAGAAACAACCAAGTCTCATGAGAATAGTCATTCACAAATAACACAAAATAAGGATATTTATTAGATGAAATATTTTTTATTAGACCCCATACATCAAAATATACAAACTCAAATGGACTAGACATACGATTATTGACTCTAGACTGAAATGACACACGGTGATGTTTACTAAGTTGACAAGCTTCACAAGACAAAGAAGACACAAAACTAAAACTAGAAACTTGGCACTTCAGATTCTGGAGAGAGGGATATTCAAGACGACAATGTCATTGTAAAGGAGACAACGAGGTCTGTAGAGCCCAAGTAGGTGAATCAAAATCAAAATAATATAGGCCACTAGCTTCATGCCCGTACCAATCTTTCTGTTCGTCTTGAGATCCTGAAAGACACGATAAGAGGGATAAAATATTATAGAACAATTGGGAGAACGTGTAATCTTGCTAATAGAAAGTAAACTAAAAGGAAATTGAGGAACAAATAACACAGAAGATAGGGATACATCAGGATTCAAGTGAATAGTTCCTAGATCTGAAACTTTAGAACAAGTACCATTAGCAAGAGTAACACTACTTATGGAAGTTGCAGACTGATAAGTAGAAAAAACATCAGACGCACCAGTCATGAGGCCAGAGGCGCTAGAGTTTATGATTCAGGGACTGCGAGTAGAGGACAATAGACAAGTGGAACAATACCTGATTGGGCAAAAGTAGCGGTGGAGGGAGATGTGATAGCCTGTTGTTGGGATAGGAATTGAGCATACTTCTCTCGTGTAATAGTAATCGACCCAGTATCTGGTGGAGATGACCGAGGTATGGAAGCAACAACAGAGATGTCATCCTGATAGGAAGCCTGATTCGCAGCACCTGAAGGTTTTTCATGTAAATCCCAACAGAAATCAATAGTGTGTCTTCCACGGCCATAGTGAGTATAGGAACGAGGGTCAACTACGGCCCCCACGACCACCCGTACAACCTCCTATACGATCTTCTCGACCACCACGACCTCCTTGAGGACCATCACTGTGACTACTAGGAACTACAAGAGCTGAGCGAGCAGTGGAGACACTATGATTGATACCTGAAGTAGACAAAGTAGCATACTGCACACGAGAGAAAACCTTAAGTAGTGAGGGAAGATTAGAATCACCCAAAATCTGTGAACGAATAGTCTCATATTCAGGTTTTAATCCTACCAAAAATCTAACGACATTCATGTCTTTATGTTGCTTCTGCCAAACTGCTGCATCTGTAGTAAATGGATTGTAAGTCTTCATCTCCTCACAAACTCCCCGAACATGAGAGTAATAATCTTCAATGCTCAGAGTACTCTGTTACAACCAGAAGTACTCTTTGCACACCGCATAAGCTCAGGTAAAATTACCTATACCAGAATACATAGTGGCCAAGTGATCGCATATCTCCTTGGCAGTGTCAAGGTAAAGCAGAGTAAAACTAATACTATGCTCAATGCTATTCAGTAGTAAAGACATAATTTGAGTGCCCTCTTGTTCCCACTGATCATACCCAGAAGTATCTTCCTTGGGTTTAGAATCTACCAAATATTTCTTAAATCCTTTGTCTCAAAGAAAGACTTGAGCGAATCGGGACTATAAAGTGTAATTCATCCCATTGAGTTTAACAGAGGTCATAAGACCATTGATAAGAGTAGGGGGTGGCAAAGATGGAGTAAGAGACTTGGTATCTTGTTTGAGTCCATTACAGTGCAACAAATAAGAAACAAGAAGTGCTGCAGTACTGAACCAAAGGAAAGGAGGCTGTTGGAAGATTGAACCGGGCTGGCTAGGCTTGCTGGACCACTGAACCGGACAGAATAGGTTGGTTGGACTGCTAAACCGGATCAGAGAAGCCCACTGGACCGCTGAACCAGAGGCAAAACAAATGAAACCGGTCTGAACTAGTCTAAAATTGACTGACCGGACCTGGACCGGAATCTTGGATCAGGGTCTGGATTTAGGCTCAAGAATAGTTATGCCCATGGACTTGGATCCTTTACCCAAACCTGTAAACTGACCCACTTGAACAGGGTCGTCTCCTTCACTGATTAGAGTTTCTACCAAACCCCATTCCTTTACTGTTGACTGCACCAAGAGAACACCACCACCATAAACCACTATGAGCGTTAGCCACACACCACCACGAGGCAAAAATCAAACTCCACCAAGGTTGACTACACCACCACAAAGAAAAAAAGACAAACGACACCAGTCGATTGCACCACCATGGAGCAAAACCCAGACACCACCAACGTCGACTACACCAATGACAGCAACACCACACCGACAGGAACAACACCAGTTTGGGTTAATATTTGTATTTAGAATAACTTTGCTCTGATATCATGTTAAGTTGAGAGAATTTACATAACACAATATTAGAGACAATATTAGAGAGAAAGAGAGGTTAAAAACTTAATTTAGGTCTCATACATCACTTGTATTTATAGCTAACTCACAATAATAAGAATTACACATACACCCTC